GGATACCCACTGTAGTGGACTCCTTTCTGTGGACGCCTACCTGGGGTAAAAGTGCCCACAGGGTCTGGAGGAGGCATTTTCTGGCCCTGAATGTGCGTGGTGGGGAGGCTGGAGAGGTTCACCCAGGAATGGTGGCCAGCCTGCTCCAGAACCTTGTCCAGTGGCTGGTTCATTAAGTCCACAGCTTGGAGCCTCTCCTTACAGCAGAAGGCCAGAGTGTCCCTGCAGGAGGCCAGGGTCTGAGGGCAAGGAAGGAGAGAGAGAGGCAGAGGTGAAGGCAGAAAGTGAGCGGGGATATTGCGGGGAGGTAGCTGGAATTGATTTTTCTGCTGGAGGCTGCAAAGTGTTTCTGCCTCTAAACTGACCCTTTCCAGTTCTTGTTGTGGCTCAAAAGAGTGATTTCCAAATTGAAGCTCAGACACTCCACCCTCTCACCCTCTTTCCAGAAGCCTTCAGCAATAGGGGAGGAGGGGAGCAGTAGGGGCTGGTGGCAGCTTCCCTGTCCTGGATGTCAATTGCTTAAGTTCTGGGTCTGGCTTTGCCCTGGCACCCCAAGAAAGCCCCTCCCCCATCGATTTCCTCATCTCCACAGTGGAGAAGTAGCACTGGCTAGACCTACATCTCTGTCATCCTGTGCCATCTCTTTCCTCCTCAACTGGCATTCAGGGTTTATCCCTCCCAATCCCTAGCCTCCAAGTCTCCCTTCCTCCTCTCTAATCAGTATCGGGAGCCCTCTTCAGTCCCCAGCGTCCCCCCACCCCCTTACTGATTCTGAATATATATATTCAGCCTCAAAGAAGAAGAAAATCCTGCCATTTGTGACGACAAACCTGGAGGATAGTACTCTAAGTGAAATAAGCCAGATGCAGAAAGACAACTACTACATGACTCACTTATATATGGAATCTAAAATAGTCACAGTCATGGAAGCAGATCCTAGGATGGTGGTTGCCAGGGGCTGGGTGGAGGGAGAAATGGGGAGTTGTTGGTCAAGGCATACAAAGTTTCAGTTATGCAAGATGACTAAGTTCTGGGGATCTAATATACAACAATGTGACTATAGTTAAAATACTGTGTTTTATAACTGAAATTCGTTAAGGGAGTGGATCTTAAGTGTTCTCATCACACAACACGTAACTATGTGAGGTGATGGATATGTTAATCACCTTGATTGTGGTGATTATTTCACAATGTATACATGTATCGAATAATCAAGTTGTACATTTTAAGTATATATATGTGTATATGTAATTTTAAATGGTTAATTGTACCTCGCTAAACCTGGAAAAAGTTAAAGGCACCTCACCTACAAACACAGCCCTGCCACGACTAGTCTGTGCCCCTCAACTTCCCCATCTCCAATAAGGGGACCAAATCTTCTATTTCACAAGAGTGCTTTAAGGAGCTAACTCAATGACTGCACAGGGCTTTGGCACAGAGCGGGTGTTCACTATTATTCTGAGGTCCAACTCTATCCCTCAGAGCTCCAGTTGTTCCATTTTGTGAAGCAGAAATATGGCAAATGTCAGATCAGGATGGGTGGGCCTAAATGCTTGCTGTTGCTACTGTCCCCAAAGGTCAGAGCAATTTCCCATTAGGCAGCCAGGGGACCCCCCATAGCCCCTTCACTGGGTTCCAGGTATTCCTGACCTTGAGCAAGGCCTCTGAGTTTTCCATGTCTTTCTCCATCTTCCTCTTCATCTTCTTTAACTCATCTTTCTCCCAGGTAAGCATACTGTCAGCTTTGTCGGGGACCTGAAGAGCGGAGAGACTCTCACACCCTCAGGAGAGTTCTTCTTCTGGGGTGGTAGAGGGTTTGCCAACCTCATAAACCCTGGGTTTGGAGAATGGAGTAGGGGGTACTCTCGCCCTGTGGGGCTCTCACTTTCTGAGAAGACTTTATCATTTCAGGAAGCTCACTTATCAGCTGGAGAGTAGGGCTATGGCTCCTCCCTTTTGCAGGGAGAAGTCCAGTGAGCTGGGATGGAGGTGACTTCACCTTAGCGGGGGAGGCTTCTCTCAGGCTGGAGGTCCCCCTTTCTTGGTAGTGGTATTATCCTCAACTCCCTGACTCAGGGATCTCATCATAGTGATGATAAGGACTTGTCTTTTGAGGGACTTACTCTCTGGAATTGGGGGCTAGCACTAGGAATTCCATTGTGAATAAGGTTCCATTCTTCCCCAGGAAGACTGGAATGTTCCTCCCTTGGGGGTGGAGGTCTAGGATTTCACTTTGCGGGGAAGATTTCACCAGAACTGGGACTAGGGGTGTCACTCTTTCTCCTTGGCTAGGGGGTTAAATCTTGAGTCTGGGGTCTGAGGGTCTGAGGGTATCAGCCTATAGACAGGATCTGTTTCTTCCACCCCACCCCTCATGAGGCCCGAAGCTGGGGGGAGTCTTGTTTATTTTTCTTTTTCTTATAAACAAAAACAAAAACAAAAACAAAACATTTTGAGGATAGTTCCATGGGTTGAAACCAGGACATCACCCAACTCTTCTCAGCTGGGTATTTCACTGGATTTGGGCTTTGATGGTCTTATGCCCACAGGAGGGTCTCACTCTGTGGGCCTGGGGGCTAGGTGAGTGGATTGCGTGCCTGGGCTGGGGCTTGTGGGTTTCACTCTTGGGGAAGAATTTCATCTAGTTTGACTCTGGGGTCCCATCCTCTCTCCCTGGCTGGGGGACTGGGAAGGATACCCAATCTGGGGCAATGGGCCTGAGGATGTCACTCCCGTGGGGGGGCTATCCTTCTCCAACTGGGGACCTGGGGACCAAGGAACCTCATCATGGGGGTGTCCTTACTCACTGCAACTGGGGCCTGGGAGGGGTGTTTTCTCTATGGGGTGGGTTTTTCCCAGCCTACGCAAGGGCCTCAGTTTTGGCGACCAGGCTTGAGGGAGTTGTCTCACCTTCTCAGATTTGGGCCGGTAGCCCCGAAGCTTGACGCTCTGCTGGTTAATCAGCAGGCCCTTTCGCACCTCACTGAGCCTGTAGTCTGTAGCCTCACGCTGGCGCTGCAGAAGCAGCAGCTGCCCGTTGACTTGCTGCTGCGCACGGCACAGGCGGGCGGCGGTGAGGCGCGCTCCACGTGCGTGTGCGTTCACCAACTCTGCTGTCTGCATGGCGAGCGCATCGCGGGTCAGGGGCAGCGGCAGGCGCGCGTGCCAGACCGGTGGCTTCATCTTGCTCTTCCACAGCGTGACGCCTTCGCCAGGCGGCGGCTTCTCCACGGAGCCCCCGCCTTTGATCATTTCCACGTGGAAGCGCCATGGCTGGATGTAGGCAGCCCGGCAGAGATGACGCGCCATGTGCGGGTCCTGCACGCTGTCCTTAGGTTGCCACATGGTCACTGCCTCCTGCCCACAGCGCTGGGTCAGCTGGTGTGCCTTCTGCATCTTGGCCCGGGCCGCCTCGCGCCATGCTGGAGCTCCTACGCGCATGTCCTGGCTGTGCTCAACTGGGGCTATCAACACCGGCATGGTTCCTGCTTGGTGCCCCAGCCTGGCCCAGATCCTCCACGAGGAGAGGAAGGGGCCTCCGACCACACGCACCTCCTTCCTAGCCTGAAGAGTGAGTGAAACAGAGCGCCCGTCACCATGACAACATTGGCAAGAGTGCTGACAGAGTTCCAGAGGTGGGGGAGGGGAAAGGCGACAAGGGGGCGTGTTAGTTGTAGTCTTTACTTTGGAGTTCGGAAGAGGTGGCTTGGAATCATGGCTCCTTGAGAAAGCTGACCTCATTTAGCCTACCTCTCGCTGTCGTTTCTTACCTTCCAGCAGCGGGCCTTCGTCCAGCTCTTTCCCACTTCAAAGCTTTGCATTTGCTATTCCTTCTGCGCGGCATACTCCCTTCCATGTCTTTCCCATGGCCGGCTCCTTTTCAGTCTCCAGACCCCAGCTTAAATATCACCATCTTAAAGGGGTCTTTCCTTAGCACTCCATCTAAGCTCCACTCTCTCCTATCATTCAGGATTTTTAGTGCAAGAAACAGAAAAAATGACCTGACAACCTGCCGCGGTCCAGCCACACAGGATTCA